TGTTTCAATAGTCACCTTATGTCTGCACTGAATCTGTGTTATAATATTTTCTAATCATCAACTTTTTTGAAATCCCTATCATTAAAGAGTTTCAGAAAAATAGCTACTTTGCCTGATGATAATTGAGACAATAATTTTTTTTTTTAAATATGTTTTGTTAATATTAATATGTTTTGTGAATATATCCAATGAAAATATGTCTTTGAACATTTAATTTTACTTTATGATTTAAGTTTTTTTTTTATACAAAGTTATAAACGACAAATATATTTCTCTCCAATATAGTTCAGGTTGCTCACAATTATTTTTTCTTTTAAAAAATTCTAACCTTCAGTCAATCCAAACTACTTTATTTAATTAAAATGCCACTAATCCCAACTTATTCAAACTTTCACGAACATTTTTAATGAACGAACTTGAACATAGATTCTCATTTTATTATTCCACTTCCAAATGAACGAACTTAAAAAGTCAAACAAATAATGGCAGCATCTTCAAATCATTTTAATTATCTTCTTGCGCTATTCTAAGAGGGATGTGAGGGATGTATTCTTTATAGAAAAACACATGAGTATAACCTGAATACAACTAGAAAAGCCGAGCAACTATCCAACTGAATCTATCAGGAGGACTCTGGATTCAGAGCCTAGAAAGACTACACTAACTCATTCACAAGGCTACACAAACGCACCCACAAGACAACGTTAACACAACTCCCAAATCTGGACAAATGCTCTTGCTAGAGGAGAATAAGCTCCTGGCAAGATGAGAATCACCAAACACGCAAAACAAAAACAAGAAAAACAAAATTAACACAAACACCACAAAACAATATAAACTAAATAGAATAACACCCTCCTTCAAATTGGCGAAACAAACCGCACACGCATCGGCCCGACACCCACAGATAGACGCCCACACGGGTAAGACTCCGGCCAGAATAACGAAACAAAAACTCCAGTGAACCTCAACTATCTGGAACCATATCAGACGACCACAATCTCCTATGGACGGACTACCCCTTGACCGACAACCAGAGGACGACTCAGCCCAGCCCCTTCCCTCAACCAGCTCCACCAAAAATTCTAGGCCGGTTACTGAAAGCCCTATAAGGCCACTGATCAAGTAACAACACATAGCAGGGAGACAACAGAAGGGAAAAAGGGGGAAGAACCGAACCCCAGCTCCGACCGACGCGGAGAAGCCGGTCGGAGCTCGCCGCTCAGCCCCAACTCGGCGCCTCTGAAACCACACAAAAAGCTAAGGCATCTTGAACTCGGCGAGACCTACACCTGGCTGGGACCTCAACACCAAGGGTGGGCCGGCTTCATGGACCGGTGACGGCCGGAACCGAGTGAGTGGAGAGCCCGAAAGGAAGTAGGCGAATGTTGAAGGCGGAGGGTAGGGTTTGGTTACTGAATTTGGGGAAATCACACTCAGAAAAGAGAGAAACTTTTTTACCTTTTTTATTTTGCAGTTAAATTCTGGATGTGAAGGATGTATTTAATTGAGATTTTTAATAATTTTTTGAGATTTTAGTGACTCTGCTTGACATTATAAAACTTTTATGACTTTAATGAGTATTGTAAGATTTTAAGATAATTCTTATTAGACACTTTTTAAACTTACATCATGGACTTTTTGAAACTTATTAAGACATTTATATACGTATGATTATAGTTGTTACGTTTGAATGAATGTGCATAAGCGTTGCATAGCAATTAATATCAATACAGTAATTTTTATAATAGACAAATATTAAATTGAAATGTGTTCTGATAATTAGTTATTCAACGAGAACAAAAAAAAAAAAATAGAATCCTCTAACAATTATAAATCAATTCGTAGAAATTTTAATTCAAATTGAGTATTCGTGAACACAACTCAGTTCTGCTCGTCAAAGCTCAAGCTTAAAACATTTTTTTTTTCTTAAATAAAATGAGTTAGAACAACTAATCAAGTTTGTTTATTAAACGAGCAGAAGTGAGTTTGTTCACGAACTATTTATTTTATAGTTGTGTATTTTTGTATGAAATGTACAATCATGTCGAACTTGTTTGCAAAAATAATTTATTTTTACGGACAACTTATCTACGGTTTTAGGTTTATTAAATGAACAAGTCGATCCAAGGTTATTTCACAAGCTTCAATAAGTCGAACTCATGCAGAGCTTTATAATTATTAGGATATATTTTTTTACAAGATACAAACATTATAAAAAGACAATAATTATGTTTTCAAAAGTTAGCAATAATACTCATAATAAATCTGTATCAACAAATAAACATTTAACCTATGAAACACATATTTTAATACTTGAAAACAAAATTACAGCAAAAAAGTAAGAGCAAATAAAATCTTGGTTGGTGCAAACTATACAAATATTAATCATTTTAAAAGTCAATTTCATAACAAGAGGATAAAAGTATATAGACAAAAACTAATCGTAATAAAAATAAATAAAACAAAATCTCACTAATTTTATGAGATTTCTGCTAGGATATGTCTTAGTAATTTTGTTTAAAAAAAAATTCTAAAAATCTTATAATTTAAAAACTTTTATAAAGTCTTTTTAATTTCAATACAAGTGAGTCTCAAAAAGTACCGATTGACTACCTTGAGATTTTTTTCGATATTTACAAAAAGTCTTTAAAAGTCTCGATGGAATACAATAAGACTTTTTAGAAGTTTCGCCGAATTCTAAAAGTGTTAAAAAAAGCTTTAAAAGTTTTAATATTTACCAAGCTTGGTATGTCATGAAATAAAACTTCATTTGTTAATTAAGACAAACATATATGACGAATTTATGGAAAAGTGTATCATAATCTATTAGTCAATCCACTAAATTGTACTCAAATATACTTGTAAACTACCTGGTAAATAATTCAACTTAATTATGCGATTTTTGCTCGATTTAATTAATTAACACCGACCACATAGTATCACAACAGTTAAAAAGTTTAAAAAAATAGAAAATAAATTTTTTTTTTTGTAATTTTAATCTTCGCTACAAATTATATCCAAATTGGTCCTTTTGAAAAATTAATTAGCATGTCACGATCACAACTTACTAATATCTCTACCATCTTCTTCGAAGTTACATTCAGATCCTAAAATTGACTTGTAACATTGATTAAAAAAAAAATAAATAAATAAAAATCTCACCTCATTACTAGAAAAAGAGGGATTGTTGTTGATGGTGCTATTGAGAGTGATGCGAAACAATAGTTAGGCATAAAATCTGTTTGGAACACCAAAGAATCAAAAAGCAATTTCAAAATAAAATATATATGTATATATATATATATATATATATATATATGTATATATATATAAATTGACTTACTTTTTTTTTTGGTGCAATCAATAATTCAAGCAAACACAAATCTAGCATTTGATCTTACCCCTAAAAAAAAAGTAGACTAAATGCATGAGATTTCTTATGTTCATGAATTTAAAGTGAAAATTTTCAATTTATATATAAAACCATTATTTATATCTGTATACAATATAAGTGTTTAAGTCCAATAAAAGGGTTTTATTATTTTTATAAATATTTAATACAAATAACTTAATATGACTATTGAATAATAAAACTCACAATCTTATCTAGTTTAAATTGTGTAACATAATGATGTGTGTCATTAAATAATCTATTGCAACTCTTAGTTTGATAAGATTTGGAAAGAGGAATTTTGTATAATTTTTTATAATTCAGTTCGTTAAAGCTCGAGATCGACTCGTTTAGATTCGAACTTGACTAGTTAATATTGATCAACGAGCAGAGCTCGAACTTGATTTCTAGCATATTAGCCGTCGGATTGTACACAATCACACCAATTCATGCAGATAGTATCAGTTGTATGTGCGGGGAGGGGGTGGAGGACTTGGAGCATATTCTACTTAATTGTTAGAGGGCTGTGAATTGCTGGAAGTAGAGTTGTTTACCTTGGGTGCATTTTGTTAGAGATAAACTGCCATTTATGGATTGGTGGGAAGACCTTTGTTCTAGGAAAAAAAGATAATTGCTTTCCCCTCCTCAGTGACTCGAATTCATGACCTATCGATCATAGGTGAAGCGTCTTACCACCAACCCATGACTTAACCGGTATAATTGTAGGTATAATATTTAAATTCCAGCAAAAGGAGACACCACAAAAGCCAACAGAAATCAAAGTAGGCTGTTAATGGGGGAGGGAATGGATTGTAGATTCATTGGCAATATATTTACTCTGCTTCATACCCAGCTAGGCCGAATAGTATACCAAAAGATTATATGATGAAAAATATATTATTTTAATAAAATATATCTTATTTTCCTGAAAAAGTAAAATGCCACCTAAAACGCATACCAACTTTTCTATATCTCCCTCTACTTGTTTGTTTTGTAGCCTAAGTAATTTGTATTCATATGTATAACTTTCAGCTGCTTCTCTAATGGAGAAGAGTAGTTTCAATGCCGGTTCGCGTTCGGGTTCGGGCCTTTGCATGGGGAGGAGCACTTTGGTGTTTCCTTCACACTCTGCAACAACACATCCTGGTTAATGGACGCCAGCTGAGACAAATTCTGCATAAAAAAGAAATATGTATTTTTAGTGCATCCGATTCATTTTGGGGAAACGATTTAAAAAAATGAGTAGAACGGTGGTGATTTCATCGTTTTGGACTCGTTTATAGGAAAGTCACAAGTAAACGCGTGTTCAGGGAAATACCGAGCGAGCATTAATACAAAACTTAGTTCTAAATTCTGATTTACTGAACAAACTAGGGAAATTACAGTACCTTGAAAGAGAAATTCATCAAAGAGAGATCAAGCGGTGAGGAATCGAACTGGGCAAGATCACCACATTTGTCCATCTTCTGAAACAAAAATAATAAAATCCTTCATATGGTAATAATTACAACCACAAAGCATAAGAATCTTTCCCAATCTTTTATATTCGCCTCGACTCTCAATTTCATATTCCATACTCGGTAAACTGACATATGAAGTATCTGGAAATCTACAGAACTGTCAATTCTTCTCAAGCTTTAGACACAAACTCAGATTTGAGAATGAGTATACAGTATATACCTCTCGTCCAGTATGTGTTTGCAATTCTATGCTGTCAGAATCTGAATCCATAGAACTTTGATCGACTTCAGTTCCACTGGAATTATATCGAGAAACAAAGTAACTAGTATCATCCATACGCTCGGGCTGTGGTACAAATGCAGCCTATAGAAACATCGACCGTTGGAATAAATAACCGCCGTTTCTTTACAACAGACAAAATGTTGCTCACTCAGCTAGCTAATGATATAACTATTAAAGAAATTTGTTAATTACAGAATATGCTCCTGTGACATTTTAACAAAATAATTTGATGAGTTGGGCAAGCCACCTCAAACCTAGATAAAACAAATATATGATGCTCTCGTTCAAAATGAAGAATTTGATATTCACTTCTGAAAACTTATTCTGCATCTTAGATAGAACACTTATTCCATGAATTAATGAGCGATTCTAGGCTATATGAAGAGCAGTATACACTATGATACAAGAAATAATTATACAGCCGGCCCACCTTTTGTAAGGTTAGATTATCCCAATCCACTCCTGAGAAAAAGGAATGTGCTTTTACCTGAGGGAATTATAAAACAAGACAAAAGACGGTTCAAAGTCAAAGTGGACATCTTCACAATCATAGCAAGTGTAGTTAATTTGACGTATTCAACCTCGGATGCTCCTTTTGCTCCTAGCCGCTCATCTGGGTTGTGAACAAGAAGCCTAATTCAAGAACAAAAGATTGTCATTAACTGATGCACGCCAAAATGAATAAGGAAAGACAAACATTAAGTTTTCCTACAAGAGTTAACTAATTCAGTGATATTCATGTTTGAAAATTCATAAAGCACTGGAGAGATAAATTTATGCCGTTTCTGAAGAGATTATCATTTCTAAAGGAAATAGTTCGCTAGAACTGATTTCTATCAATAGTAAATTTATTTCTGGGTAATGATAATATGAAGAGTTCCATGATACAAGTACTAGATAACCAACATTCATTGCCTCAATTTATGCTTCCTTTTCTACTTAATTATTGTCAAATTTCACCAACCTGTCAATCAGATCTTGAGCCTCACAAGACATCTCATCAGGAACTGATGGCCAGGGAATTTTTCTGTTTAGAATGTTGTCGAAGATATTCTGTCAATCCATGAAAACACAAAATGTCAGATGGTTATGGAAGTTTGGAAATCCGATGATAAAAGAAGATAGCCATAACAAACAGTCTCAGAATTAGGAAAAAAAATTAACTGCACACGATCACGAGGTCGTAAGAGGCAAAAGGAAAAACCCTAACAAGAATCAAGTAGAACTGCAGAAGCAACTTAAAGAACATTATATCTAGAAATGAAATATTTTTTTTACCAGAAAAGACAGCCAGATATGATTCATATAACCGACTCATTTACTGGAGTTAAAGCTTTGTTGTGTTTGATTAACACAACTGGACTTGGTCTGTAATTCTCTTGTTATGAATTTCAAAAGATCCATTGAGGGTTTTTGAATAAAAGTACAATTACAACTTAATAATGTCGCGAGGCCTATAAATGGATACAATTTATTATGTGTGCGCCAAATGCTTCACTCCTCATTAGCAGGATCACATATTACTTAATTCAAGTGCATTACTGCCATCATCATTTTTTTTTTTTCATGGAACATTCATTTGAAGTAAGATGCTTTCTTTACTAGCAATGCCTACTTTTTAGTTAATTGGAAAAATGGAGAAGACCACATCATACAGCAATAACCTTACATAGCAAAGTGGAGTGCTGTGATATCTTTGGGCCAATAAACAGGCTGTATCATAGACGTTACAGAGCATATTTATATGCTAAGTTGCTAACTGATAGATGTACGTATATCAGGGTTCCAATACCAACCCTAGCCTTAAAATTTCTAAACCTCAGGTGTCTTAGTTCCATTCTTGTGCTCCAAACGGAATAGTACAGAAAATTTTCATGCCATGCAGTCATTACTCATTTGACCACATCTCACTACTACATGAGATGGACATGCAATAGCAGCAAAACAAGATTGAAGTGAACACAGGATCTTGAGTAACTACCTCTGGATGATCAGCATTGAAAGGAGGGATTCCACTTATAAATTCAAACAAGATGATTCCTACTGACCACCAATCTGCAGCAATACCTACAGAAGTATCAAGAAGATACTTTAAGCAATTCAACAATGCCAACCATGAAAAAATGTTTCCCGTATTTCGAGTTTTCGAAATTGATAGGAGACACAAAAGAGAACAATGTCAACCATGAAACAACAAATTGTGTAGCTGCCTAACCATGTTCTGTTCCAAGAAGAATTTCAGGTGCCAAGTAGTCAGGGGTACCAACAGCTGACTGGTCACCGTCCAATTTGTCTGCGTTGTGTTGACCATTTATATCAAAATTGTAGTTTTTATCCGTCTCTCGCGAGGATAGCTCATTAGTGCAATTCATCAGGCCAATTTTCGACAATCCAAAGTCAGTAAGCTGATCAAATTGTGCAAGGTTTAGCGATTAGTAATCATCATGACAACCTTCCTACAGAGTACAAAACTACAAATAAATGAGTGACTTATCCAATGTTCCCAAGTTTTTAGCCATACTTCTACAACTCTTACTAGCTTCTTTCATCAGTTTAAGCTAAACTTTTACTTCACTGACTCTCCATGTTGCATAGCTACTGCAGTGTATGCATAAATCACGTCATTGCTTAAAGATCATGGGGTTGTCTCAATACCTCTACCTCTATGTTTCCAAAGTATGTTGAAGCAGAAACATGATAACATTTGACAATGAATACAGCTGATGTTAGCATTCCAGGTTTCCAGGTAAAGAAAACGGTGTAAATTGAAATTCTTTGTTTTTTTAACAAAATTTCAAGAAGTCAAAAATTGGTTGGATGCTTTCGCATCTCCAATACACTATTTCCCATGAAGCAAGATACAGATTTCGCGCATTCATAACAAGATTTTCTATATAGGATCCAGCACCACAAATCTCCATAACAAGCAAAAAAGAGTAAAGTTCTAGAGATACCTTGATATGCCCATCATGGGCAATTAATATGTTGTCTGGTTTCAGATCACGATGTACAATTCCAAGAGAATGAAGGTATTCTAGTGCAAGCACCTAAAGAAATTCCAAAGCATTGTTAATATTCCAAAGTATACTTACAAACTTCTAACAGACACAAAGAGCTTAGATACAGAAAATGTCAAAGTTTACCAGTTCAGCGATGTAGATACGAGCAACATCTTCTTCAAGGCAACCAATCATTTTTAGCAAAGAGTATAAATCTCCACCATTGAGATATTCCATGACCAAATAAAGGTTGTCTCTGCTGGTAAAGGAGTAAAAAAAACGAACCTGCACATAAAAACAGATTCTGCTGAGCCATACAACACCCTACAGTGCTACACCAAACCCTTACATCTTGTATAGCTTTGTAACCAAAATAGTTAAACTTAGTTTCTCTTATTCGTTGATTAGGTAATACTTGTCTGCTAAAATTGAATACAAAAAGAACTTCAAACAGACTCAAGTATTATGTTCTCCAGTTGCACATCCACATGACCAACATTCGCAACTTCCCAAACTAATAGATATTTAGGAATGTTATAGTTAAGCTCCACGAAATTACCACAAAAGGGTTTCGCACTGTGATTAATATATTACGCTCGGCCAATATGCGATCAATATCATTCTTCCGTAACATATCCAATTTCTTGAGCACCTGCAATAGCAACGGAAATATTACTCCTAATGATGAATAACAGGGAAGGTTTATTACAAAAGCCAAAAATGAAACACTTGCTAACACAATCATAAGGCAATCTTTTGACAAGATCAGGCAGGCGGTAACAAAGCACATTATTAAAAAAAAAAAAAATCCTTCAGGTAAGTTAGAAATATGACTCCCATCATAATTGCAAACTAAATCGAAAAATCTGCATACTGCCATGCAGAGTAATGAAATGTAACCTTTTTTTTTTCCAAAGTGGGACTAGCGACTGTCGATGTCTGCATCAAACTTTGAAGATTGAACAAGAGATCTCTGGCTTGTGAACTAAAATCCTACGAGATATTAAGCACTTTATCTTTAACCTAACATGCATACTCAAAATAGTTGATTAATTTGTCTCTGCAGATTTAAGTTATTTTGTAATATTTAAGATGCATGGCACAAGTAAGCAAGATGAATCTCTATGCATATCATCACAAGTACAAAGACCTTTCAACTCTCCAACAAACTGTTCCTCACAATGGAGCGGGATCAGACATAACAATGCACCTTAAGCTACCTTATCTTTCTTTATGCTTCCACAATGTGTAGAGATCAATATAACTATTTTAAGTCCTCAAGTACAATGACAAGAGATCAAATATTTGAAGCATACCTTAATAGCAAACAGATCTCCTGTAATCCGCTTTCTAGCCAGAAAGACTTTTCCATAGGCTCCTCTGCTGATGGGTTTTATAATGTCAAAGTCGTCAATGCTTGTACGTTCTTTATGTGCAGGATGTGAAGGTGTTGATGTTGTACTACTCTGAGATGCACTATCCATCAAAGTTCTTGCACTTTCTGGATGTCCAGCATCATCAATTGTATCCACTTGATTACAAGCAAGTATATATTTCTCCCTGCATATTGTTTTTAAGTGTTGGTTCTTCACTAAAAGCATCATATATACACTGCAAGATTTATTGTCTTTTTAATCTATTACCTCAGAAGGCTTTCTATTCGGCCACCAAAAGTATCTACTAGAAGAGCACTGTACTTGCTATGTTGTAAAACCTCTTTCAAGTCGTGCATGCAGGCAAGCAAAAACTCACTTGACCCTTCTCCAGAAAGATCAGTCCCTGCCACGCATCGAGCAATATCAGCAAGGTCATGCATCTGCAAATATGATTCAGTGTAAGCATAACAAGTTAAGTTGAAATAATATTTGGAAAAAAAAAA